GAAAGTGAAAATGTACTTAGTGACGAACGAGACCCAAGAGGAATTTAAACACTTTGTTGTCTTGCAGGTTTTAATCATAGTTGTGTAGTTCTCTCTAGGTGTTCCCCTCTGTCTGTCTCTTTCTCTTTGTTTTCTTTCATTTATCTCCTGTGACTCTGTCTTTGTGCTTCTTGTTTGTTGGTTGACGTAATTGAGCTGAATGAATGTTTGAGTTTCTCTGCTCAAAAAAGAAGAGGAAGAAGTCATTATAGGGACAGACCACCACAATACTGTTTCCCAGGCAACTGCTCTGTGTGTGTGTGTCTTTGCATTTAAACACTATGGGGAATGAGAGCCGTCCAGAAAGCGACTTTGTGGGAACTTTGTGGGTTCTTTGATCTTATTGAACAATTCAGCAAAAGTCAGCACTATAATATCTGTGCATGGCAAATACAATATTGTAGTAAAGTTAGGGTAAGCCTCAGCAAATAATAGTACATGTAAATGTACATGATCCCCAAATATAAGGTGCTTTTACCTACCTGTAACCAGTTTTCTGCAGTTCAGTAACAGATGGGTCTCTGTAACTATCCCCCCATAATATTACACAACCACACACCTTGGTTCCATCCTGTTTCTGCCAATAGTCATTAGTTATGATACATGAGGTCCAGTATCAGTCTTGACTATTCATCCCTTTTTTTGTTGTGATCTCTCTGTGACACAGAGAACACAAACACACATATCAGTTTATTAAAGACCAGCTGTTAGTCAGCAGAGTTTCCTCTGTGAGAGGAAATCAGTGACCATGTAATGTGGAGGATGCAGGATGACATCATCCAAGCTGTCCAATGAACGAGTTCTCTATTAGACCATATAACTTTATTTTTACAACTCTTGGTTAGTAATACATTAATGGAATTTGGAAACAACCCAAAACTAAGAGGCAACAGTGTATCCATTTATTCCTTGCTCTGGATTAAGTTAACTACATTTGTGGCTGTCCTGCCTATTTCTGATAAGATGTGCCTTTGCCCTGTTACCATTTTATCTGGGTCAAAAGTGGTGTGTGGCCATTTTGAGACATTCTTACGGTTTCAGTCACATTTAACTAAGTACATGATCAGTAATGTTGTTCATTGCAGTAGTGATTTTGGAAGCTTGCTGTCTTGTATGGCGATGTACAAAGGTTGCTATGTCATTGAAGCATAGCTGTACCTCTACATGCAGGCACAGAGCTGATCATTACTATACAGACTAAATAAAAGTGGTCCGAGTATAGATCCGAGTGGACGCCTTGTACAGGTATACATGTTAAATACTGTGATTTCAATATGTCATTTATTTGAGTGAATCAGATGAATCTAAGTAATGATGGATAAATCACCTTTACCATATCAAGTCTTTTTAAGGTCAAGAAAATGTCCCTTTTAGTACTGTCTATATCCATTATTGTTTTAATCTTTTGTAAAAACATGCAGATTGCAGTCTTTGTGAAGTGGTGCGCTCTAAATCCAAATGGCATCGGGTTCAAAGCAAGAGGGTTTTCATGTATCTAGAGAAATCCTTCGAGAATCTGAGAGGTTGATAATGTTTGTGATATGAGAAGCCAAGGACTCCTGTAGAGACTTTACAGACATTGCAGAGTCCATACCATAGCTAGTGTATCTTTAGCTTTGGGCATTACACAAAGTAAGTTTATTATTACCTTATGCTCAAAGATGTTACTTAAACTAAGCAATAAGGGTTTGGAGGACTAGAACTTTTTCACCTCAGTTAGCTTTTTAATATGCTCCCAAACTTTAGTGTTCCCTCTAATCTTACAAATAACACCAATAAAGAAAAAAAGTTGCTTTAGCCTTTCTTAACGGTATAGGACCCTGACTACATAGCACGGTAAACTTCTTAATCTCCAGGTCAGACTTTCAACACATGATCCCTCTCCTTCACCAAATGTTTGAGCTGTGCAGTGATGTTTGCACATAAATATGCTGCTGTCCTTCTCTGCAGGCATCACAGAAATTCATTCCAGTCTGTTTGGTGAATAGCTCTTGGAAAATCCCCACATAGCACGGTAAACTTCTTAATCTCCAGGTCAGACTTTCAACACATGATCCCTCTCCTTCACCAAATGTTTGAGCTGTGCAGTGATGTTTGCACATAAATATGCTGCTGTCCTTCTCTGCAGGCATCACAGAAATTCATTCCAGTCTGTTTGGCGAATAGCTCTTGGAAAATCCCCAGGTTCACTTTTTGGAATTGTAAAAAAAACTGAAATGATTTTTTTAAAAACTTATTCTAAATGTTTTTTAGTTAATTAGTAATAGGAGGAATGAGAACACTGGATGTACAAGGTCAATGATATGTTTGGATATTTAACCTATTAACATTGGCTTGAAAATTCATTCTTGATTGTGGAAACAACAACATCACACACACACACACAACTTCTCAAGACAAGATCTAACTTGTTTTAGTTGTTTTATCCACAGCCACATCTCATGACCATGCTCAGTGGTCATGGAAATGGGTTAGATGTTAAGAATGGCATATGGGTCATTTGATAACAGGTGGTCAGCCCACACATCATGTTCAGGTGTAACTCTAAACACCAGCTCCAACATAAAAGAGCAGTAATGTGATGAGCCTCCTACACACAGCATGTTATCAGGGAGGTGGAGGATAGCGGGAGAAAGGAAGCAGGTCTTGAGGACTCACCAGGGTCACTGGGTACAAAGTGAGGATGATGACGACAATCTCAAAAACTTACCCCAACCCAAGACCATGACTGATGCTGTTAAATCAGTGGGGGCTGCCAGAAGCATGCCAGTGGGACTTTCTTACATGGCTACAAAATCCACTTGAACTTTCAGGGTAGTGGAGCGTCAAATCTAATTTATTGTATCAAGACAAAGCCCTTGAGATTTCTGAGTGTGTGTGTGTGATGAGATGGAAAGTGGAATTTGACAACACCGTCTCTCCTGTTCTTTTGAATTCCGGGTGTTGTGGCTGTTGCACATTCCTCTGACCAGCTTAACAGGTTTCACTTTAATAGGCCTTTATGTGTACACCTGTGTGTGTGCGGCACAGATTAGTGTTTAAATGATTGTCTGAATGTGCACCCATGGAATTTCCCAGTTAACAATATAAGTCAGGGTGTGTTTCTATGAGTCTGTGTGTTTTTTTGTAAGTTGTGTATTGTGCTCTTTATTCATTTCTCTGTTCAGAAGGATTGTAGATTTAAATGGTGCCAGGCAACATCTAAGTTGTTTGTTATATGATGACAGCAATAGCTCCTCTATCATATATTGTAGAAATCCTGATGTAAAGTTTTTCTTCTGAACAGCAGCTTCTGGGTTCTCCTGGACCACAGAACTATAGTAACATTGTGTGTCTCAGAATTAGCTGCTGTACTATGCACATCAGCCTACAATCAATAAAGGCCGAAATGTTAATTAAAATGCTAAAATGCATAGAAGTTCAGTTAATTATCTGTTAAATACCACAACAAAAATATCTAACTGGCGATATGACATGATTCGGGAACTTTTCTCATTAAGAGCTGGCGCCTGAATCACCAGACTGATTTAAGGAACCAAAGGAGACTCACTTGTTTATGACCAAATTACAAACTGGCTACATGACCGCATCATGTCCTGTCTCCTGTGTGCTCTATCCAGGTGCTCCCCCACACATAACCTCAGGGCAGTATTTCCAGTAGGTGAGAACATGTCTAACGCAGACTACCTCCTGTTGTGTGTTACATGTGTGACGTTAGAGCAAGTGTCACCTTTGGTTCAAGTTAGGGTAAATCTCCTGGAAATGTAAGTCTACGTAGGGCCTTGGTATGTGCTGAAAACAAGGATGTGTGTGTGAGTGTTGGTTCAGGTAGTGTTGAGACAATGAAATGCCATTCATAAAGTTCAGTTTGAGTAACAGATCCATGAGTCTGAATGCTGATCACATGCCAAAACACCACGTAGCTTTTTTTCGGCAATTTTTTTTTTCACTGTGATTGTGTGGCAGCCTACACAGCAGAAGTAAATAGAGCAAAGCAAGTTTTCTGTGCAGTCAGGAGCAAAGGAAATGTGATCCAAAATTTAAACCTCAGTGGATTCATAATTTCTGGATTTTGGATGTAACCTGTCCATGAATGTGTATGTAGACAGGCGATTCACTACTTAAACAGAGAGCCATTTTCTTCTCTCTTTGTTCAAATACACAGAAGACATTCACTTTCAGGATCCTCTGACCTCTGAACTTTGACCTCCTTGGTGTCGTACTACCACAGTTGACCTTTGCCCTGCAGGTCATTGAGTATCCCCTGTAGCTTCCTGTGGTGAACTGTATTTGATAAAAGACAGAGTTGGGGGCATGATGTTATAAGGGAGTACAGGCGCGCAGATGGTCCTGTTTGAACCAGTCAGACCTGAGCACAACAACCCTGGTTTATTTTGGCAGCCATGTGGCTGGTCTGTGGGTGTGATGTTGTTGATTAGCCAGTCGTGCCTGGGACGGATAATCAGGTCTTGATTATGGTTTATTTGAGGGCCAGGAAAACAATAATTTTCTTAAAGCAGCAAGATACATTTTTAAAGCTCATTTTTTGGGCGGACAACCTGGCACGCTAACACCAATGAAATGTAACATTTCCTGCAGGCCTGTATAGTTATAATCCTTTCTGGTAGGCTGTTATTGCAAACGTTTAACTGATCTAATAAACCTGTAAAGTAGAAGTGACCAAAAGAATGGGATAATGAAAACGTGACAGTATTTGTGTTTAAAAGAGTAACTCAGCGACAAAGTGATGAAAATGATTTACACTGTTGGTAATCCCACTTCCACTCATTGTTTTTACTCAGCCTTCATTCCTTTGTTGTATCATTTAATGCTGTTAGACTATGGAACCTCTTCTCTACATTTATTACAATATAAGTCAAGTATAAAACACTAAACATTATGCAAGATGATCAGGAATGTCTCAACAAAATAATGTTTTCATTTTCTCCCTCTCCCCTCAGGGAGTTTGATCCAGGATACGTCGAGGAGTTTGGTGCTTCACCTCCCTCGATCCTGGCGCTTTCTGCTCCGTCTCCACCTCCTCTTTCTTCTCCACCCCAACCAACACAACAA